CGGCGGTTCGCACTGTCTGGATGGGGTGGGGGGGAGGGCGGCGCATTGAGGAACCTGGCCTTGGGGCAGCAGAGAGAGTAAATTTGGCCCTGCCCATAACACTCAGCTCTAGGTCTCTGCAATGACGTCTCTCCGGCTCCATACAGATCCGCCCCCACCAGCCAATATACACCAAAAACATACCCGCACCACTCTCCGATATCCTACACTCAATTGGTCATTTAAAAGAGAAATCACATCGCCCACCTGAGCTCCCGCCTAAGCCCAATAGAGGGTAAAACGCGTCAGTGGCAAAGTGACGCCTTCGATATGGGAGTGCTGTGCTGGTATCTTTTTGGACACAAGACTGGATTTAGTATTCGATGGAGTAGACCTGAATCTATAGTCATATACAGGCCTTGCAGCTTGACGCATTCATGTCTCATTGTGGCCTACGCATTCTGCGTTGCATCCGATAGGAACAGGGGGCATATAAGCAAACTAGGAGCTCGGTGTACGCATTGAGCCTCAGTGTACAATCACCTAGACAGGCTTAGCGATCATACAACATGTGTGCAAACATTCACACACACATATAAGCCCAAGGGTGTTATTCACAAAGCTGACGGAGCACGGCTGATTTCATCGGTTACATCGGCTTCCTTCGGTCACCCGAACATGCTCTGCAGAAGGACTTCAACTCAGCCGATCCAACATCTGGATCGGCTGAGCCGAAGCTCCGGCAGGTCACTCGCTACCGTTCTCCCCGATTCACATATATTCTCATAGGGGCCGAATGGCAGTAAGTGAATAGCCGAATGCCACCGAGCGGCATCCAGCTCCGCTATTCTGCTCGGTACCTCCGTGGTACCTCCGTGGTACCTCCGTGGTACCGAGCAGAATAGAAAAGAAGTTAAAAGAATGAGAGAAAAAAACAGTTGCCAAATTATTTAAAAAAATATTTAAAAAAAAGAAAAATATTTTAAAGAAAAGAAAAATAAATGCAGTGACAGCTAGCTCTGCCTGACTGTTTCCTATTGGCCGGCACCTGCCAGAGTTTTCTAGCAGGTCCTGGCCAATGAATAACAACTGGGCGGAGCCAGCCCTGACATCGCTGTCATTGGCAGGGCGAACGCCTGGGGCCGTTCTCCCCGCTTCGGCTGTCACTCCCGCTCAGTCGAGCTGGAGCATATGCCTTCGGCTGCTGTACAGGATATTGTGAATATTGTGAATAGCCCGTTCAGTGGCCATTCTGTTCGACTGAACCGCAGGGCAGAGGCAACCGAAGAGAGCCGAAGGATCATCTGAAGCTACGGCTGGATCATTCGGCTCCATAGCTCCATAATCGGAATGTCAATGGAAGCCTATTAGCCACAATCACAAGGCCATCGGCCACCCCATTTATGACTAAAATCCCTCCAAATCAGCCAGACAATCCCTGAGTGTTCAGTGACCTGCAACCTGTTATTATAAATTCTAATATTTCCAGGAAACGACATGAAACCATGGCAACGGCCCCACCAACATCGGCGTCCTCAGGTGGAGGACTGTCCCACCAGCTGTCCTGGACCCTTTCACACCATTGGATCCCTCCTCACCACCGATTACCTTTACAAACTTTCCTTGGGTTTTTAGGCCCATCCTGGTGCGCCTTTCCCATCTCCTCCACCCTGGGTACACATGGCCATGGTCCGTTCTACGCCTATGCCGAACACTTTTTGACCTCACACTGACGGGACTGCCTCCCTTTTCTCCTGATGAAGCGCCCCTTGGCGCGAAACGCGTTGAGCCTACAAGCAATGCTCCTCTAGCATTGCAAGTAATATATCACCCCCATATGCATTGTTCCTTGCATCCGAGGTTTATTAACTTAACCAACCAATATTATGTCTCTTCTGTTGTTATGATGCTGTACTTTATATGCTTAGGTCCATGATCATCTAGCCAAACCTCGTTTTGTGATATTTAGGGGGTGATAGGAGGTTTGTTCCTCTGAGGTGCACGCCTTTTATTACCATCTATGCATATCCAATGCTTTTTACAAATTATTTGTTTAAAGGAGAACTATGGGGTCAGGGCTTTCCCCCATAGTTCTCCTTAGGGTAACGGGAGGACACAAACTAGCGTCCTCCCGTCACCCTAGGCTCAGTATATAGGGAGCCACAGCTCGCGGTATACTGAGACACCGCAGCCGGGACATTACTGTCTGGATCCGCCCAGCTGCGTGAGTGACAGCTGGCTCCGCCTATCTAGAGGCAGAGCCAGCTGTACCCGCCCCCTCCCCCGTCCGTTCCGCCAGTCAGCACTGGAGGATCGGAGCGGGGAGAGGGGAATCCAGTAGACATGTGCGATTCGTTTCGTTACTAATCGAAATTCGGACGAATTTTCCTGAAATTCGTAAATTCGGAAGCATCCAAAATCCGAATTGCAGTTTCCGAATTATATCCGAAATACGAAATTCCGTTAACGAATTTCGGATCGGAATTTCTTTGAAACAGGAACTAATATTACCCCTGTAAAGGAGGTTGAACAACATGACAAGATTTTTTTAAATCCGAAATCCGAAATTCGGATCGGCTGCTGCTGAGAGTCGCATTACAATACACAGGCAGGAAATACGAAATTCCGTTGACGTATTTGCGTTCCGTTACGAACATTCGTTATATTGAAGGTAAAAAGCAAAAATACCTTTGTTAATATATTGGAGTTGATGGTAGTTTTTTTTTTATCCGAAATACGAAATTCAGATAAAAAAACAACGACCACATCGACTCCAGTATATTAACAAAGGTATTTTTGCTTTTTAACTTCATCATAACGAATGTTCGTAAAGTTACGAAAATGTGCCGAAACTAACGAAAATCCGCATTTCGTACCAATCCGAATTGAGTTTCGGACACGAATTACGAAATACGAAATAACGGATATTACGAAACGAAACGGAACGGAAATTTTTTTTTGACGGCGCACAAGTCTAGAATCCAGCCCCTCCCCTTTCATGGCAGAGAGCCGTGACAGGATCGAGAGGTGAGCGAGCGCCGGTATGTGTTCTCTCACCTCCTGATCTACTGAGCCGACCTGTGACAGTCTCATTGTCACACGTCGCCCCAAACTATGAGGTGAGTGAGAAGCCCCTCCCCCTCATAGTTCTCCTTTAATAAATGTATACTTTTTATATACTTTTGAGACTGAAGGTTATTGGACTTGTTCTTTCTGGAGCCAACCCCCCCATCTTTCTCTGTCCTCTGTTCATTACGGAATTGGGAGGATGGTCTTTGAAGGCTCTAGGGAAGATATCCAATCAGAGCCCTGTATCTCCAGCCCAAATCCCAACATAGCAGACCCAGTCTCCTGGCCATCGTTGGGCACAGACCACCTCAGGCTGGCCCACTGTCCAGGGGGTCCCGCCCAGACCCCGCCCACTTATCAGAGTAGTCCACCTAAACCCTAACTATGACTGTGTGAGGATCGCCCCCCCTCAGGGCCCTTCATCACCATAATAATTGCCGTATCGAGTTACTGAGAATGCCCGTATGAGGGTGACACCATGATCCGTGGAGATCGCCCAGGACACAGCATCATCGGGACTGAGGTTCAAGATGCAGGACGGTCCTGGCAAATCTGGCACAGATAGCATCTATGTACATGGTTCCATAAAAAACCTTTCCCACTCCAGGCAGGAGGAAGCATTTCCTCAGTCTCCCCTCCCCCAGCGATCATTCTGCTGCAGGCAGGAGGAAGCATTTCCTCAGTCTCCCCTCCCCCAGTGATCAGACTGCAACTTTGCATGCAGTCACAAGCTGAGAGGATGCAGCAGGAGGCTGATCTGGGTCAGGCATTTGTGAATACAGCCAAGAACTGCCCAGACACCGGGATTTCAATGACTGTGCCATCTCTGAGCCGCCATCTCAGTCCAGGAAGTAGATGGTGGCCGTGGAGGATGTTTTGTGATGGGAATAATATTGGACCGTGCAGTTGGTAATTGAAGGTAATAACCAGCACCGGTGATACATAAAACTAACAACCAAAATATTTATAGCTCGGCTTCGGCACCTAAACCTATCGAATGACTTTTCCAGAGAGCCTTGAGAGCGCGGACTTATCGGAGACTTTATTTATAAGAAGTCACAGAAACATACCCGGAGATGACAAGGCCTCGTCCTCCCTCTGAACACAAATCATTTATAGTGAATCTGATACAAAGTTTCTTCCTTAGAGATCCTGCCAGTAATATCACTTCCTGTTTCCAAGTGACACCCAAACCGCTGCTTCCTTATACCCGCTCCATTGACATCCATCCCTCCCCAGCCGACTCACCCCCCAATGATAGCCATACCCTCTTGGCAGCATCACCCCCCTACCCCACAGCTGACA